ACCCAGTGTGGTGGTACAGGCCTGTACTCCCAGCAATTGGGAAATGGAGTAAGTTTAAGCCACCCCTAGCTATGTAGAGAGTTCAAGGCCATCCTATAAACTAAGACCTTATCTTGAAAACAGAAAGAGAGAGGGAGAGAGAGAGAGAGAGAGAGAGAGAGAGAGAGAGAGAGAGAGAGAGAAGGAAAAATCAAGCTGAGACTTTTTGGTCTTAGCAGCAAAAGCAAGAGGACAAGGGAATGTTCTGGCTTAAAAAAAACCAAGAAGACAAGATGCACATGCTAGCACATTCCTGTAATCCCAACTCTGGAGAGGCAGAAGCAGGAGCATTGCTGCAAGTCCAAAGCCAGCCTTCTGTACAGTGAGTCCAGGCCAGGCAGGGCTACACACCAAGTCCCTATCTCAACTGCAAGCCCCGAAAGGAAGAAAAACAGAATTAAAATTGGCCCAGGAAGCCCCTGCTGGGGAAAGTGTTGGAATCACCTGATGCCAGTGGAGGACATGAACATGACAATAAATATGGCCAGTAGGAACTTTTAGAAACTGTGACCATGTCTGCCATGGCTATTCTTAAAATCCTGTCTAATTTTGGCTTACCTATAACTTGCTTTGTAGACCAGGCTAGCCTAGAACTCAGAGACCTGCCTGTCTCTACCTGAGTGCTCAGATTAAAGGCATGTGCCACCACCGCCCAGCTAAGATTGTTATTCTTTTTTTTTTTAAGATTTATTTATTTATTTATTATGTACACAGAAGAGGGTGCCAGATCTCATTATAGACGATTGTGAACCACCATGTGGGTGCTGGGAATTGAACTTGAACTCAGGACCTCTGGAAGAGCAGTCGGTGCTCTTAACCTCTGAGCCATCTCTCCAGCCCCAAGATTGTTATTCTTAATTGTCAATTTGCTGGGATTTGGAACCATGTGGGAGACAGACCTCTGGACTCATCTATGTGGGTGTTGTTAGGATTCTGCCACTCCTCCAGCTGTATGACCGTACATGCGCAGTTAAGTAGCTAAGCAAGGGGTCTTACATCTTACAACATCCATGTGCTGCGTGATTATGTAATGGGCGCAGCCTAGTCACGCAATCTGCACATGTATAGCGTAGCTCCCTAAGCCCACCTGCGCATGTGCAGGAGAATCCTTAAAAAGCCAGTCACAGACCCCTCTCCTCTCTTCTGCTCTCTCCTCCTCCCCCCTCTCTCTCCCTGCACGTGTCTTCCACAGGCCTGGTCACTCTCTTCTGTCCCCCCTCCTCCTAATAAAGCTCTGATACTGGGTTTTGTCCTGCCTTGTGACCTTTTCTCACAGAATAAAAGCACCGCATTTAAAACCAACATTTTTCTTATTATAAAAAAAGGCAGGTGAACAGGAATAGGGACATCGTTTCTCCTGAAAACTGCTTCCAGCTGACTTGGTGGGTGTCGGTTGACTCTTGGGGGGTAGGGAAGGGGGTTTCTGAGGTAGACAGGCGTCCTGGGGTCGTCTGCTGCTTTGGGAATTGTCTGGCAAGGTGCTGTCCAGGTGGATTCAAGCTGGTTCTGGAGCTCGCTGACCTGTTCAGGTGGATTCTCTGGAGCTCAGAAAAAATTTTTAAACATATTAAGAAGCAGCCATGGGGGGCTGGGGAGATGGCTCAGAGGTTAAGAGCACTGACTGCTCTTCCAGAGGTCCTGAGTTCAATTCCCAGCACCCACATGGTGGCTCACAACCATCCGTAACGAGATCTGATGCCCTCTTCTGGCCTGCAGTCATATATGCTGTATACATAATAAATAAATAAATCTTTAAAAAAAAAAAGAAGAAGAAGAAGAAGCAGCCATGGGAAAATTAAAATCTTGGAATGGTAACCATAACATTGTAGTGTTTAGTACTCTGCTTATATTGGTTAGTGTGTGTGCGTGTGCGTGTGCGTGTGCGTGTGCGTGTGTGTGTGTGTGCGTGTGTGTGTGTGTGTGTGTGTGTGTGTGTGTG